TTAACTTTCATATTACAAATTTTAATTGGTTCCAAATAAATGTGATAAACAAACACAGGTATGCTTAATAGGTAATTTARTTCTGTTGGCTTCATAAATTGTTCGAGTAATACTTCCATTACATAATATAATCTAAGGATAAATCCAATAACTTTAGGTATAACTTAAAATATTACAGTTTCCTTAAATCCTTTAGATAGCCAACGATTTTGTATAACTGCAATCACCGATGTTGGAGGTGCTTCGAGATCTTCAAATGCATCCATTAAAACGTAGTCCATAACAATGTCATAAAATGTCATTTTTTTAACACCCCTAGTTGACAGTTCATTTTCTGCTTCTGTCCAGTGCGCATCAGTTTTTGCCCAACTCAACATCTCTTCATAAGCCAAAAGAAAATCCTTGGGGTCCTAAAATAAAATACCAATTATATCAGCTCATAAATTAAAAGTCAAATGTAATGTGACAAAAAATATTACTTTTTCAGCAAATAAAAAAATATCAGTTAATATACGTCTCCCACAATCAGCAAACCACATTGAGTTTTTTTCATTCTTAAATAAATGTTCAAAAGCTTGACGAATACAGTGCAATTTACATACATATTCCCTATCTGAAGCACAATTTACTAATGTTGTTCGATAAGTCCTAGACAAAAGTTAAAAAGTAGGTAATTTAAGTATGAATTAAACATGTGTTAAATGTTAAATCATCATATTATATAACCGTATTTAAATGACAAGTGGTTAATGATTAATTTAACAACAATTAACAAACATTAGGTACCTGCATACTATCCCTTCAATTTCAAAATATCTTAAAGCATTTTGATATAAATAATAGTTATCAAAATTTAATTCTTCAAATTCTCTTAAATTTGCTACCTAAAACATACAAAATATATGCTGTTATATTTAAAAAGAAAAACAATTAAAATAACAGTAAAACATTAAGACCAAATTTAAGTTTGTTTGAAATTATCAATTTTAACAAAAATTTAATCAATAACAATCTGAATCATCAGATATATTAGAGTAGTAGAAATCAGATTTTACTACAAACTATCCRTATATGATGATTCAGAATAATCGTACTATTTTATACATATATTTTTGATGTAATAAATAAAATAAAAATATGATTCAATAAACAGTTTAATTTTTATTTATAAGTAATGTTCAATCAGTTGCTTATTTAAAACTCTATGGATCATGATTTAAGAGGCATAATAGTATCTATATAATTGGATATAATTTTGTAATATAGACCAATGAGTTTAATACAAGTAACCCAGTAGCATAGGTAGGAATTAATCAAGGTCAAGGTTTTTAACATATATGATATAAAGACAATAACATTCCTGCTAGGGCATACATTTATGAAAATAAAAATACATTCAAATGATAAGTAACACAGCCCCAATTGTGTATGGCTACTGATCTTCATTGATAAGAACACAGTTGACTATATCTGTAGAATTATTCTGATATTATGCCGCATAGCACATAATGTTATTATTTGTATACATATACCTCTTTGATATAATAACATAGAAAGGACAGGAAATAAAAACCAAATCACAGGACCACTTAGAATTTAAGGTAAGCTTGTGCTAGGGGGAGGGGAGAATCAGCAAGTATATATTGATTTAAAGTAAATGGTGAATTCAGCGCACGAAACGTACTTGCT